GGGGGCAGGGTCCCGCTGGCTCTCGCGCCCAGCTCAGTGCCCATCATGCAGCCGGGGGGAGGAAGCAACTCCGGGTTAGGAGGGAGGGAGAGAGGGAAAAACACCCCAAAGGCAACACGGGGACTTGGCTCTTCTTGCAGAAAACACTGCGAAAACTCTGACTTTGTTTGGCTAAATCTTTCCAATTTGGGGGTGATATTTTCCTGGCCCCCCCCATTTTCTCCCATTCAAAATCAAGGAGAGGGAAACTCCCAGAAAGCAAAGGGAACCAGGACCCCTCGAATGTCCAGGATTTCATCCCCATGGGCTGGTCTCAGCCCCTTGAGATTTTCCCCAGAGAACATGGGCAATTCCCTGGATCCGTTGGTGTCGCTCAACCCTCTTCTCTGCCCCCGCGCCTTCTGGGACCCACCTCCTTCCCTGCCCCAGAGCTCCCACCCCTGTATATGTCCACCTAGGACCCACGCCCCATCCCCTGGCATCCACCCCTCAGCCCAGAGCCCCATCACCCCCCTGTTCAGAGCTGCCCCCCACATACTGGCCCTGCCAGTGGGGATAGCTGGGACCCAGGTGTCCGGGTGAGCCCTTACCTGGGCGGTGGTCCGGTTCCCAGCCGTGTAGCTCAGGGGGGTGAGAGAGCAGTTGGAGAGCACGCGGTCGATGCTGTGGGGCGACTGCAGCGTGGCGCTCAGGCTCAGGGTATAGGGCAGCTCCCCCTGGGGGACTCGCGGGACCCCCTGGGTGACGTCCTCCCCATCCCACCCTGCAGAGAGAAAGACGGAGTGAGCATGGGGCCCAGGCAGAGACAGATGCATCCTGGAGGCAAATGCCTGGCTGCGAAAATGGTGTCGCCAGGAGGGCTTTGGCTTCCTTGAGCATGGGATGCTGTTCCAGGAAGAAGGACTGCTAAGCAGAGATGGGGCCCACCTAGGGAGGAAGGGGAAGAGCATATTTGGCTACAGACTGGCTAACCTAGTGAGGAGGGCTTTAAACTGGGTTTGAAGGGGGCAGGTGACCAAAGCCCACAGGTAAGTCAACAACATGGAGACCTGGGAGAAGTGTCGGAATTTGGGTGGAGAATGGGCTGTTACAGCAGAGATAAAGGAGAGACAAGACAGAAGGGGGGGGGCAGAGAGAATCAAATCAGTATCTCAGATGTCTGTATACTAATGCGAGAAGTATGGGGAATAAGCAGGAAGAACTCGTAATGCTAGTAAATAAACACAACTATGACATAGTTGGCATCACAGAGACTTGGGATAATACGCATGACTGGAATATTGGGATAGAAGGGTACAGCTTGCTCAGGAAGGATAGGCAGGGAAAAAACGGAGGTGTTGCCTTATATATTAAAAATGTGCATACCTGGACTGAGATTGAGATGGAAATAGGAGACAAACTCGTTGAAAGTCTCTGAGTAAGGATAAAAGGGGTAAAAAACAAGGGTGATGTCAGGGTAGGGGTCTACTACAGACCATCTAACCAGGATGTGGTGGATGAGGCTTTTTTTAAACAGCTAACAAAATCATCAAAAGCACAGGACTTGGTGGTGGAGGGTGACTTCAACTACTCAGACATCAGACATTCTCTGTTGGGAAAATAACACAGCAGGGCACAGATTATCCAACGAGTTATTGGAATGTATTGGAGACAATTTTTTATTTCAGAAGGTGGAGAAAGCTACTAGTGGGGAGGCTGTTCTAGATTTGATTTTGACAAAGAGAGAGGAACTGGTTGAGAATCTGAAAGTGGAAGGCAGCTTGGGTGAAAGTAATCATGAAATGGTAGAGTTCATGATTCTAAGGAATGGTAGGAGAGAGAACAGCAAAATAAAGACAATGGATTTCAAGAAGGCAGACTTAAGAAACTCAGGGAGTTGGCAGATAAGGTCCCACGGAAGTGAGTCTAAAGGGAAAAACAACTGGAGTCAGTTGGCAGTTTTTCAAAGAGACAGTATTAAGGGCACAAGAGGAAACTATCCCAATGCGTAGGAAAGATAGGAAGTATGGCAAGAGACTACCCTGGCGTAACCAGGAGATCTTCAGTGATCTAAAAATCAAAAGAGTCCTACAAAAAGTGGAAACTAGGTTTAATTACAAAGGATGAATATAAACAAATAACACAAGAATGTAGGGACAAAATTAGAAAGGCCAAGGCACAAAATGAAGGACAAGGTAGGCCCATTACTCAGTGAGGGGGGCAAAAGAATAACAGAAAATGTGGAAATGGCAGAGGTTCTTAATGACTTATTTGTTTCGGTTTTCACCAAGAAGGTTGGTGGTGACTGGACGTCTAACATAGTGAATACCAGGGAAAATGAGGTAGAGATCAGAAGAGGCTAAAATAGGGAAAGAACAAGTTAAAAATTACTTAGACAAATTAGTTGTCTTCAAGTCACCAGGGCCTGATGAAATGCATCCTAGAATACTCCAGGAGCTGACTGAGGAGATACCTGAGCCATTAGCAATTATCTTTGCAAAGTCATGGAACTTGGGAGAGATGAAAAGGATAAATCTAGTGCCTATCTATAAAAAGGGAAATAAGGACAACCTGGGAAATTACAGACCAGTCAACTTAACTTCTGTACCCGGAAAGATAACGGAACAAATAATTACACAATCAATTGCAAACACCTAGAAGATAATAAGGTGATAAGTAACAGTCACCATGGATTTGTCAAAAACAAATTGTGTCAAACCAACGTGATAGCTTTCTTTGACAGGGAAACAAGCCTTGTGGATAGGGGGAAGGGGTAGATGTGGTATATCTTGCCTTTAGTAAAGCTTTTGATGCTGTCTCCCATGACCTTCTTTTAAACAAACTAGGGATACGCAACCTAGATGGAGCTACTATAAGGTGGGTGGAAAACTGTTCCCAGAGAGTAGTTATCAGTGGTTCACAGTCATGCTGGAAGGGCATAACGAGTGGGGTCCCAAATGCATCAGTTCTGGGTCCGGTTCTATTCAATATCTTCATCTATGATTTAGATAATGGCATAGAGAGTACACTTATAAAGTTTGCGGAAGACACCAAGACGGGAGGGGTTGCAAGTGCTTTGGAGGATAGGATTAAAATTCAAAATGATCTGGACAAACTGGAGAAATGGTCTGAAGGACAAATGCAAAGTACTCCACTTAGGAAGGAACAATGGGTTGCACACATACAGAATGGGAAATGACTGCCTATGAAGAAGTACTGCGGAAAGGGATCTGGGAGTCACAGTGGATCACAAGGTAAATATGAGTCAACAGTGTAACACTGCTGCAAAAAAAGCGAACATCATTCTGGGCTATATTAGCAGGAGTGTTGTAAGCAAGACACGAGAAGTAATTCTTCCTCTCTACTTTGCTCTGATTAGGCCTCAACTGGACTACTGTGTCACATTTCAGGAAGGACGTGGACAAATTGGAGAGAGTCCAGAGAAGAGTAACAAAAATGATTAAAGGTGTAGAAAACATGACTTATGAGGGAAGATTGAAAACACTGGGTTTGTTTAGTCTGGAGAAGAGAAGACTGAGAGGGGACATGATAACAGTTTTCAAGTATGTAAAAGATTGTTACAAGGAGGAGGAAGAAAAATTGTTTTTCTTAACCTCTGAGGATAGGACAAGAAGCAATGGACTTAAATTGCAGCAAGGGTGATTTAGGTTGAACATTAGGAAAAACTTCCTATCTGGGTGGTTAAACACTGGAATAAATTGCCTAAGGAGGTTGTGGAATCTCCATCATTGGCGATTTCTAAGAGCAGGTTAGACAAACACCTGTCAGGAATGGTTTAGATAATTAATCCTGCCACGAGTGCAGGGGACTGGACTAGATGACCTTGCGAGTTCCCTTCCAGTCCTATGATTCTATGGGGGGAATGGGCTATTGAGAGGCATGGGGGGATGCTGGGAGGTCGGGAGAGGGCCGGAGGGGGGTCACCTACCCTGGGGCAGGGATTGCAGGGCTGGGGTGGCGCTTACCATGGGGCACATAGTAATGGCCTATGGGTCTATGAGGGTCCATGTGGGTCTTTCCCTGTGGGGTACGTAGCAGGGGTAGGGAGTCTCGGGGGGTTACAGGCTGTGGGTCACTCACTGTAGGGTGCGCAGTGGGGTTTGGGGGACGACCAGGCAGTCTAAAGTGGCAGTGGGATCTGTGGGTCTCACCATGCGGCACGTGGGCGGGAGCAGGGAGATCTGTGGATCTCACCATGGGGCGTGTAGCGGGGGCACAGCACAGCTGGCAACACGTAGTGGGTGGCTCCATCGGGCTCCAGCGGCAGCTCGCAGACGTAGCGCAGGGTCAGCGCCGCCTCCTCCCCAGGGGGCAGGTTACCCAGGGAGCAGCTGAAAACGTCGCCCCCGGCCCCCTCCTGCTGCAGCAAGAACAAGCGTCTCCGTACAGCTCTTGTGCCTGCTGGAGAGATAGGATCATCCCAAGATCCCCCTGGCCCCTGAGATCCCCCCTGCCCCACCCCCCGGCCAGCACATCCTCATACAGGTTACTTCTGGGGGAATTCTGCACCACTGGGTAGGTGCAGAATTCATGTCTGGCACAGAATTCCCGCCCCCCCCCCCCGTCCCTCCCAAGAAGTGCTGCAGTTCCACCTTTCACCCTCCAGAGGCCGCTGTGGCACCAGAACAGTCAGGAATTGGTTGCGTTAATCACAGCACCCTGCCCGCAGAGCCAGGTTAGGACAGAGTGGGGCACACAGGGCTGCGGGGGGAGGGGGGGAGGTGGGTGTCACAGAGGGGTTCAGAAGGGCTGGTGGGGGCAGAGACTGGGCTGTGGGCTCAGGAGCTAGTGGGGTGAGTGACACCATTGAGCCAGGGACTGAATGGGAGGGGGGCTGCAGGACCACACGGGAACGGGGGTAGGAGGGTGCAAAGCCCAGGGCCGGCTTTAGGAAGTGCGGGGCCCGATTCTAATAGTTTCGACGGGGCCCCGGCAGGGATGACTCACCCGGCGGCACTCCGGGTCTTTGGCGGCACTTCGGCGGCAGGTCCTTCACTTGCTCCGAGTCTTCGGCGGCACTGGAGGACCCACCGCAGAAGTGCCGCTGAAAACCCAGAGTCACTGGTTGAGTAAAAATTAAAAAGGCACCTAAGTCAGCGCGGGGCCCTCTTAGGTGCGGGGCCCGATTGGGGGGAATTGGCCTAAATCCGGCCCTGGCAGGGCCACACGGGAACAGTGGAAGGGGGCTGCAGGGCCACACAGGAACAGGGGAAGGAGGATGCAGTGACACACAGGGATGGGGGAGGAGGCTGCAGAGATTGATGGAGGGTGTGGAGACAGGGGCAGATGTGCCTGACTGAATGGGAAAGGGTCTGCATGGGGGAGGCTCCCTAACTCCCTAACAATCCCTCCCCCCAAAAAAACCTGTTCCATACTTCTCCCACCCACACCCAACAATCCTCGAGGTTCACTCCAGACTCCTTCCCGCTCCCTCAACTCCTCCATTACCCCTGACTCCCCCAAACCTTTGCGCTGCTTCTGAGGGGGGGCAGGAAATCCGGTTCTATATTGTAGTTTAAATGAATTCTTACACAAAGTTCTGTATGAATAGGCCTAGAAAGGAATCTATTCTTGGAAAAAATTACCAGAATCTTTTTTTTGGTCTTTGTTGTTACAGACGTACTTGCTGACACTAGTTTGAAATGAATTACCAAAATAATGGAAACTGGCATGATTACACTGTGTTATTTTGACAAAAAAATGCAGAATTTGTATAGCAGTTTTGGCATGAGGTGACTCCCGGTAGGGTGGGGTTCTAATAGGGTGAGCATTACCTGTGTCAATGAAGTGGCATG